GGAATAACTATCTTTCTGATAGCCAAATCTGTGTACAGATTTCCTGGCCATAAATGTTATTCTTTTTTAAAATTTCCTAAAAAAAAAATCTATAATGAAGCAATATATCTGTGTATGGAATATGCAGTTTTCAAAAGCACATTACATATGCTAGTTCAGGGGCAGTTTAGCTCAGCCAATTAGCTTCACAAAATGTGTCTTTGCTACATTGAACCTAATATTCAGCCCAACAAGGACATTGCTAGACTTTGGCACCTAGGGCCAGGGCCAGATTCAAAGAAAGTTTTTTTTAATACCAATTAGCTTCACAAAATGTGTCTTTGCTACACTAAACCTAATATTCAGCCAAACAGGGGCATTGCTAGACTCTGGCACCTAGGGCCAGAGCCAGATCCAAAGAAAGTTTTTTTTTTAATAGCAATGTGAATTAAATGGGTATTGAGAAACCATGATATCCACTTTTTGTCATGTTATACTACAAACCCTAGAACATTCTAGCCTATGTGCCTGGGGGGATCCAGTACCTGCAACTCTCCTGCAACCCTATAGATTTCAGGTGAATTACAGATTATTTCTAAGGATTTTCACATTGGTATTTTGATTTTACAGCTGATTAAGTTTACTAAAGATAGAGCATTAAAATGTATCTAAACCCTAAAGCAAATGTTATATATTGCAGTGCTTAGGTCTGGTGGATGCGTTGGTTTCCAGTTTTCCAGGCTCTTTATCAACTGACACTTCTGCCAGTAATACCCTTCCTGTCCTTGGATGACAACACTCACTCGCTGCATGGTATCTAAGAAGGAACGTTATCATCCCAGAAAAGGAAATGTGTTAGGATTACAGAACAGCTTCCCCCACTCCTTATCCCATAGAAAAAGAAAAGGGGGAACTAATAACCCCCCCCCCTTTTGTTATGGAACTGTGGCAGGGGAAATAAGGTTTCAAGTGCACATTCTAGAAGGTCACAAGGATTTTTAGTCCCCCCCCCACTGCGTGAGGAGGAAAAAAAAGTTAAAGTTTCAAGTTCCCCCATGATATACTTATATAATGGTGAAGCATCTAGAAAATATGAGTTTTAAGCCCCCCACTATACCTGGACAGTGTTAAGCCACCCCCAGGGTATATTATATGATGGGGAACATTCTAGAAATTAGTAGTTTTTAGCCCCCCACTACTCCTGGACATTCCTGGAAGAAACAAGTGACCAATAGGGAGAAGAATTGGAAAGAGGAGAGCGCTATAAAAAGGGGGGGGGTCTGTTAACGGAAAAAAAGAATCTTGGGAGGCATCTCTGTGGTGCTCCCTCCCAATCGCCCTTTTTGTTGTGGCCAATTATTATTGGTAAATATATTTAATGATGGTAAAATACGTAAGTATGTAAATTGAAAAAAGTTGTATGGTTAATGAGTATGGTTGATAAGTGTTGTGTTCATAAGTACAGCTTGAGTCGTAGTGACTTAGATGGGGGTATTTGAGTAAGATTAACTTAAGTAAAAATGTTTTACAATTATTAGTAAGCTAATATGTAAAAATAAAGTGTTATTGTAAAGAATGATATTTAAACCACTAAGAAAATAAAGCCAAGTTAGCACCAAAGCAATAAGAGTTGTGGTCTTATATTGTATAGAGTAAAGAATACTGCCTACAGTCCCATAACACAGGGAGAGGTGTTCTGGAATCCACATAGAGAGCTGGAAACAATGTTAACTGAGAATGGTGGCACATAGGCACAGGGAGTTATCTGATCATTCGGTTTCTTGCAGGATCACAATACATTTTTGGAGGACTTATCCAATAGATATACCAAAATGCTTTCAATGGTATATAGTATTTAACTAACCAAAAGGGTGCAAACATAAGATAATTTCAGGTTCATACATGCTTTAAAGTAGTTCTAAAGACAGAAGATTTTTTTGTACCTTTTAAGGAATTCTATTCATTAAAGTTAAAAAAAAAAAACTTCTGCATGCAGCTCCCCTCCAACCCCCTAAATACTTACCTGAACTTGATCTTGATCCAGCAATGTGCATGAGAGCATAGAGCTCTTTTGGCTCTCTCCCTCACTGGACAGAGAGGCAGCAGTGGGAACCATTGGCTCCTGCTGCACAGCCAGTGGGAAGAGGATGAGGGCGGGGCTGAGCCACACTGTATGTGTCAATGGACACACAGATCCAGCTTGGGAGCAAGCACGCACAAGTTTCCCCATGCCAAATCAGCTTGTTGTGGGGGCACTCGGAGGGAGTCAGGAGCTCCAGCAGGGGATCCGAGAAGCGGAGGATCAAGGCTGCTCTGTGCAAAACCATTGCATGAAAATGAAAAGTCATGTAGAAGAATATTACTAATCTCATCGCTGTCTTTGCAAGTGTTATCATAGTTCCGGAGTTTTAACCTAAAAGGCCATTATCTAGTTAGCATGAAAATCCTACTTATATAACATGTTCGTCAGAGTGCCAAAACTAATATCTTGTTATGTTATAAAAGTGAACCTGTGGCTAGGCTATAGGCATTCATGTATTGATATATTCCTAGTAATCAATAAATTACCTTTAAATTGAGCCTTTACTTACCTCTGAGCAGCTAAGCTCATTTACACTATTACGTTACCGCCTTCAGACATTTGTGAATGCAGCCAATAACTGCACAGGTATCAGGGTTTCAATGACTATGTCATCTGTTAACCAGCATCTCATCTTAGCCCAGGAAGTAGATATTGATACTGGATGAAAATCCCTGCCTACTGTGATTTGGGCATCAGATAAGGACTGTACCTGAGCTTCCAGCCACATAGAACCAGAAAGAGACAGATCTGAGCACACCAATGTAATTATATGATCTAGATGGCTTAGAGGCCCCTAGGAAGAGCTTCATTCTGTGCCAGCAATGGAAAGTAAAACCAGGGCCAGTGCTAGACTACTTTGCACCCTAGGAAAGATCAGCTATTTGCATCACCCCAAAAAAAAATAACTGACTAGGGAGCTGAGAGGAAGTGATGTTCTACAAGAAGCAAGAAAAAGTGTGCCACGGCAGAAAGTAAACTGGTTTAAATTACGTGAAATATTTGGTGTGTGTAGAGTCTTAGATGACTTACATAGTGCAGAATGTGGTGTGCAGGATGGAGATGACAGAATGGAGATTACTTTGTGTGTAGGATAGAGATGACATAGATGACTGTGTGCAGAATAGAGATGACACAGTAGATGACTGTGTGCAGGATGGAGATGACATGGTAGATGACTGCAGGACTGTGTGCAGGATGGAGATGAAATAGAGATGATTGTGTGCAGGATGGAGATGACATGGTAGATGACTGCAGAACTGAGATGGCATGGAGATGACTGTCTGCAGGATGGAGATAACATGGAGATGACTTTGTGCAGGATGGAGATGACTATGTGCAGGATGGAGATGGCATGGTAGATGACAGCCGCAACCACACTTCACAATCCAGACAGTGTGGTCCTTGTGACGAGTCCACGGTTTAAACAACAAAACTGCACCCTCCTTTACCCCTCCACGTGATCCTGCAACTGATCAGCTCAAGGTATGCTGACATTCCTCGGGTAGCCATACCCCCTCACTCAGCACTGACCAATCAGCAAACAGGCAGGCAGCACCTAACTTCCTAGAAGTGGAGGACACAGAAAGAGGGATCTCTCTGACTGTGTGTGTCTCTGTTTTGATTCTTACGGGCGCCACAAACATTTTCATTTTCACAAGAATGTCTGAGTTGTCCGTGAGTCACGGACGTAACCGTGCCCTAGGCTGCAGTGCGCCCTAAGCAGCTGCCTAGTTCACCAAATGGTAGCATCGGCCCTGAGTAAAACCTGTTCAACAAGCTGGTCATGAGATTTCAAAAGGTTCTCATGTTGTAAAAGAAAACAGATGTACATTATAGGATATTATAGGGTAAATGACACCTCCTCCAATCTGTTTGTGATCAGACAGTTCAAGCTGTACCGCCTTTCCTCTGCCTTCATTTTCCTAATTTATCAGCAAGATATTTTAAAATGTTATGATGTCTTCGCTTAGATAACAGCTATAAATCACCTTGTTGTGAGAGACTTGTAAAAGTTTATATTGGAGAAACAGGTGGACAAATACAAGTCTATATATGGATGAATCCATGGATTTCTGATGTGTAATTCATCATATATATATATATATATATATATATATATATATATATCCCAACCATGGCACCACCTACCTGCAGTTTGCATGCTCCCTGTGCCTGCGTGGGTTTCCTCTGGGTACTCCAGTTTCCACCCATACTCCAAAGACATGCTGGTAGGTTAATTGGATCCTGTCTAAATTGGCCCTAGTTTGTGTATACGTGAATGTACGTTAGAGACCTTAGATTGTACACCCTTGAGGGTTAGGGATTGATGTGAATGAACAATATATATGTAAAGTACTACATAAATTGACAGCACCATACAAGTACCTGAAATAAATACATAAATATATCTCCATACCCTGTCACTAGTCCAAATCCTACCATAAGATTATATGTAAATGTAACACATTTTATGCATGTTGTTGCCTGTAAAAACCTCCTTTTTGTAGACATCCAAAAACCCTAGACTTGCTTGACTCCACCATCTTGGAATGTCAGCAGCCCAAGCACAGTTAGAGCTGTCACTCAATTGATACTCTTTAGTTTACCCCTTCACTCCGCTGACAGCTGTACCGTATAACAGGTTATGTATGTTATGTTAGGTTAGGTTTCCTGAACAAACTTCGCAATATGTACAAATTACCACCAAATACACTTCTGATGACTATGAATGTTGATCTCTGCATATCAACATGGGATTGTCACATGCCACAGATTCCTATCATCCTCCAAAAAAACGCTGAGAATGTTACACAGCACTTCGAATTCATTCTCACACACAACTATTTCCCTTTTGATAACTACATTTATCTTTGGTGCATAGGTATTGCTATGGGGAGTAAGATGGCACCACAATATGCAAATTTATTTAGACACATTCCTTAACCCCCCTGGCAGTATTCCCGAGTGTAGCTCGAGGTAAAGTTTTAGCACCAAAAGCGGTAACCCCGGGCTACACTTGGGAATACCTTGCAGCATTGCTCGGGCATCCCTTCTGCACTTACCTTGTCCTGCGCTCCCCCGCGATGTCCCTCCTGCAGCATCCCCGGCAAAGTCCTCCGGCCGATGCCAGCATCTGTCTTCTGGGTTCCGTTCCCTGCGAGCGTCGGGACGTACGGGGGATGGAACTGGTGGGAAATTTTAAAATGTCAAAAAATGACATTCACTAAATACGCTAAAATCACATAGTAAAACATTACTGTACCAAACCATTTCACATACATCTTGTCCCTAATGCTTTGTCCTGTGCCCTGCCTGCATTTTTACTGTTCTTTCTGCCTGCAAACTGAGAAATGTCCATGGTGTCCAAAAAGCGTCCCTTTAGGTCAAAAGTGATTTTAGACCAGCTAGAGAACAGCGATAGTAAATTAGAACTACTTGCAGAATTGATTGATAATGATTCGTGGGGAAATTCGTCATCAGACGCTGAAAACGATTTTGTGACTTTGCTCAGTGATGTGGGAACTTGGCGCTCTATTTCAAATTTCAGTGTTTTTGGTTTGATTATATTATTGAATTAAATTTATTATTATTAAATTATTATTTTTTATGATTATTTATTAAATTATAATTTATGATTTCGTGTTTCAAATTTTAACATACCTGGGATGTTTACTAGACTCTTGTTCGAACAGATTTCAGTGAGTTATTCCTAAAAATTACAGACCTACCATAAAAAATGACATATTTCCATGCAAAAAAATGTACCGCTTTGAGCACAGAAATACTGACATAATCTGACCACGAGGGAGGTTAACAGAGTACAATAAAAGCCATATGTACTATCACAATATTGATGATATTAATATTGTATGGACAGAAGGTGAAATATATGAAAAAATATCACATTACTTTATGCTTTCCCCCTTCAATCAAACTAAAAATGGACTATTCAAGCACATCTATGAGCTTAGCCACCACAGTAGTCCTTAGGGGTGACAACCTGCGTACCTCATGTACTAGAATCCCAAAGGCTCATGTAACAAGTTCCACAGTGCCCTCCCAACACACCAAACAAGCAAGCATATGTATTTGTACCAGCCAGACTGAAAATGTAGCACTTATCTTAAACTTTGAAAATTCATTGTGTTTGATAAAGATTTATTTTCATATGTTTGACATAGCCAACCCACTATTCCTTTTTTCTCTGTATACAATTACAAAATAAATGTAGACTTGGCATGTTAATGTATTCTTGTACAATATTTAAAGTGGACCTTTCCCAACTTTCACTATATTCACAGTGTGATAGATATAGTAAAATGCCTATTTGGTTTCTTCTTTATACATTTTATACATATCTACTTTTATACTTTTATATTTCTAAATGTTTAGTATGTAAATGTATGTCTACATGCTTGTGTTAAAATTCCTACTCAAAAATGGCTGCTCAGCAACCCCTCCCATCGAGTGAAAGCTTAACAACAAAGATAATATCTCCTTCCGGACAACACCTAGAAGAAGATCACGCCTATATCCTGAAGGAGGATTACTTTTGTGTGAAAATGACCAATCAAAGACTAACATAGTTTAATAATGCTAATGCTGCGCTCACATGACCCTTGCATCATCTTGCATATATAAACTCATTTCCTCATTCCAATAAAGCAGAGGTTTCATAAGACTGAATGAGTGTGTCAGTGTAATTTCTTCAGGTGCGCGCATCACAGTACCAGATGATTAATTAGGACAGGGGCAGATAATCTTCGGACACTTAGTCCGAACCAAAACAGCACCATACAGCTCTGCATGCTGATATGAAATCATGTTACATTCACTAGTATATCTTTTTTGCTTTTACTTACAATTAATATTTTTTCACTCCCTGGTTTCTTACAGTGAAACTTTAGGTATGAATAAAAAAATGTCGAACAGGCAATCATTTTAATGTAGAAGAGACATGCTTTTTCTCTTCTGCATTAAAATTACTTACCTGCCTTTGTACGCCCTGTACAAATTCAGCAATGCTGAATCTGAGTGAGCTCCCACACGGATGCAGGAGTGACATCATCCCCATCTGGCCAATGACAGTGGCTGGCAATCAAGACCCAGAAACCGGCTACTGTCAGCGACTGAGCGGGGAGATCTGGGGCGGCACATCACTGGATCCATGGTGAGTATAGTTCTGCTTCAAGGCACTGGTGATATAACCACGGCCTCCCAGCTGCATCCTGGAACTAGTTGTCACATGGTCCAGGAGGCAGACAGATGTCCAAGAAATAATGGGAGATGGATTCATCTGTTTTTAGTAGAAATGGCCACAGTGAGAGGAATGGGGAAGAAAAATGAAGGTGCCTTTGTTATAATTTTAATGATAGCGGTGACTTTCCTCTTTAACCAAGACATCAGCTGTCAATTTTGTAAATACATTAGTGAAGAAACACCAGATCCTGAACTGCTTTCCCAGTAATTGGAGATACTTGTTTCACTCTGTTGCACAACAGATCGAAACCAGGAGTTGCCTTTACAGAACAAAAGGAAATTTACTATCAGTGTTGCGCAGGACACTGTATGAGATCCAAATACCAAAGCTTTTGTCAATGCAAACTTATATTTCCCAAGAATGACTATGACTGTGTTGTATATTGTTTACCTTTGGTGTGGTTTGCATGTGATAATTATGTATTCTGTTTGCAAGAACTGATATCTGTATTTGTAACAGTTACAGTTAGAAATGCTTAACTAAGACATATTTTCACTGTAGTGTGTAAATAAACAACCATAGGTTCCTGTGGATGTGGAGGATCAAACAACCTTCTGGATTCCAACGGTCACTGGATCAACAAGGTCATCCATTGGCCATGCTGTCAGAGCCTACTACAAGGGACTGCAGACCGGGTCCATAACCCACAAAGTATTAGAAGCAAATGCATAAATACAGACTCCCATCTAAATGCTGTACTTACTTGCTGACCAGGACATATATACACATTACAAATCAAACTGATTAAAAACATCACATTATGTGTAATCAACTAAATTTGCTAAGTCGTAAGGAAGTATAACTTAAGGATTTTCTATCCACAGGCGTATTAATGCCTAGGTGTTTGCTCAGGGTGGGTGGGGGGCGGCGTTTGCCAACCAGAAGAAGGGACACATGCAGTATCGGGACTAGGTGGGATCCGTGACAGGCTGCGGGCTACTTGACTGTGTATGCAGAGCCCGACTCTCGTTCCCGGGGATGTCCAGAACTGTGAAGGGGTGTGTCCCCTCTCCCTCTAGCCGGGTAGGGGAGGGGGTGGTGGCGGGTGTATCGGGGCGGTGGAAGGCTCTCTCAGCCAGGGGGGGGGGGAGGGGCAGGGGGTTAAGTGTTGGTCATTGTCAGGCTCTCTCTGCGGGGGAAGTAAAGCCCGCCATACATGGCCAATTCCAAAAGAATTTCCTTTAGAAAATCTTTTCTAAGAATTTTCGTTCAAATTTCACACCATTAGTGGGTCACAGTAACAGCAAATTTTAATGTGACCATCGAATATGAGTGATCGGGCATGTTGGAAATGTTTTGAAAAACAAACAAATTTTGAATCAATGATGGGAGAATCATGCAAGAAATATAAAGCTGTGACCTGGAAAGAAAAGAATATTCTTGGCCATGAAAATTCTTTTCTGTAGCAACACAAGGTGAAATTGAAGGCTTGGTTGGTTGAATTTCGAAATCAATGGTGGCACCATCCGATTACAAAACGCCTGAAATTTCCGATTTTCTAAAGAAAATTTGTTCGGAATGCGACCCATGTATGGCCTGCATAAGGGTTGTGCGGGGTGATGTGGTGTTGGTTGGTGTCAGGCTCTCTCCGCGGAGGGGCAGCACAAAGCCTAAATACACCACATCACCCCGCACAACCCTTATGCAGGCCATACATGGGTCGCATTCCGAAATTTTTTCTTTAGAAAATCGGAACTTTCATGTAAGTGGGAGTTGTCAGCCTTAGACAGTAAGTGTGTTACTGGCAGAATCACCAGGTGAAAATATGACTGAATAAAAAGAAAAATCCACCCACCACATTGCAATATGATAAATTATTTTACAAGGATTTAAATGTGCTTTAACACAGAGAGAACATTTTTTGTAGAATACATCCTATAATTTATTGGAATGTCATATGCATATATATTATGCAGTTTCTCCTAAATATACATTTGTAGGTGCCTGTAGCTTGTTTCTGTAATTTTGAATCTAGTTCTCATACAAAAACAGTAATGCCTGTGAAGATATGAGAATATCCATCAAATAACAAAATATAGTATGACAGCACCAGAATTTAGACATTTTTGTATATTCCTTCTTCTAGAACAGGGGTAAGCAACCTTTTGAGCACAATGTGCTGAAAAATGTTTTAAAAGAAATTGAGAGTGCCGGTTTTATAAATAAAATGTCATCTTCACCCTCTTAATCTTGAAAAGGAATATTTATAAAGTAAATGCTGTAAACTACTTGACTAATAGTTACATAGTTAGGCTGGCTGAAAAAAGCCAAAAGTCCATCCAGTTCAACCATAAAAAAAAAAAAAGCTATAATCCTACACCCACAGTTGATCCAACGGAAGGCAAAAAAACCCAGCAAAGCATGATCCAATTTGCTCCTGCTGGGAAAAAATTCCTTTCTAATCCCCCGAGAGGCAATAACCCCTGGATGAACTTTACCTATAAATGTTAGTATCCAGTTATATTCTGTGTATTTAAGAAAGAATACAGGCCTTTTTCGAAGCAATCCACTGAGATGGCCAGAACCAACTCTTGAGGGAGTCTATTCCACATTTTCACAGCTCTCACTGTGAAGAAACCTTTCTGTGTTTGGAGATTAAATTTCTTTTCCTCCAGACGTAAAGATTGCCCCCTTATCCTCTGTGATGGCCTCAGGGTGAATAGCTCTACACCGAGTTCACTATATGAACCACTGATGTATTTATACATGTTGATCATATCCCCCCTTAATCTCCTCTTCTCAAGAGAGAATAAATTCAGTTCCTCTAATCTTTCCTCATAGCTGAGCTCTTCCATGCCTCTTATCAGTTTGGTTGCCCTTCTCTGTACTTTCTCCAGTTCCCCAATGTTCTTTTTGTGAATTGGTGCCCAAAACTGAACTGCATATTCCAGATGAGGTGTTACTAATGATTTGTACAGGGGTAATATGATATCTCTCTCTCTGGAGTCTATACCTCTTTTAATACAAGAGAGGATTTTGCTTGCTTTAAAAGCTGCAGCTTGGCATTGCATGCCATTATTA